CTGAAAAAATCTGTTATTATTGAATAGCGATAATAAAATTGATGGTAACGTAATATAGAAAATGAAAACGGCTCTCTTTCTCTCTTTCTCTAATATAGAATTATAAATAGAGAATTGATATAGTACAGAATTGTAGAATTTCTTTTTCTTTTATTTTTCCGTTATTATTCTATATTCTTTCACTTTTTTTAATCCAACTTAAATTTGCTGCTAAAAATGATTCTGAATCTGGAACATTTGCATGCCATTTTATATACGGTATCAATGCATTTGTCGATTCCGCTAAATTTAGCTGCGTATCGATCTCTCGTACCTCTCGCGCACACTTACCGAGAAGCATCTGCTCTAGCTTGCGGCGATCCACGCGGAAGCGTTCCTGATGCAAATCCTCGGGGTCACTGATGCCCAGCAGGGCCGCGAGGTCACGCAGCTCCTCGCGGCTCTCGAAGCCGGACTTGCCGGACACACTGGTGGTCGCGGTGCCCTCCGATGTCTCCGACATCGTTTCCGCCGCCCGCCGTGGCTCACCGGTATTCACCACCATCTCGTCGGGCCTCATCTTGCCGTTCGACGAGAGACGTGTCCGCCGCGACCTCCGCCTACCTCACCACGTCGCGACGCTGCCAACAAGAAATAGAAAAATTCAAAATAGAAATTATTAGGCATTGCTTATTTGTTCTGCAGGTATTTTCCGAAGAATCGATAGCGAGACGATAATATTAAATAACATCTTTGTTAGGACTCTGAAAGGTAGGGAGCCCACATTCCATTCCAATGAAGCTTTCACACGGAACGTCCCATTTAGAATTATTATCGCGTAGGATGGCAGGAAGGACGCGAAGATTTCGAATTCTCGTTCTCGGTATGCGTTTAAATATACGCATTTAATGCCAGCACGTGTTTGAGCCCGCTCCCATGTGATTCTTGTTTTTAAGGCGATTTTTGTTGCTCGCGATGACCCGCGAAAAAATGCGATCATGTGGCAGGATACCATCCACGTGCCCGCCACGATGGTTTAATCACGTGAACCGTCTCTTCAGCGCATAATTTATATCTTATGTCGGATATAATAAGCATACCTGCCGAGTAAAAAATCTACTCGGAGAACGCGCACAAAATTTCGAATTGTCTATAACTCTAGAAGCTCTTATTCGTTTACAAAACTTAACGTTTTCTTCCGCATGCAGCAAATTCGCCGAAATTCCTTCATTATTCCGAGCAAGAAATGGCTTGTTTACTTCTACATGGTTCATAGTCAACGCGAAAAAAAGGTAAACATCACGTAGGCAATACCAATCACGAAGAGTCACGTAGACGTAACTTTATACTCTACAGAGAGTCAGTCCGGCAAGTTCGACGAACTATTGTAGCCAATTAAACTAACCAATTAATTGCATTTGCAGTTATAAATATAATAATAATAATAATAACAATAATAGAATAATTATTTATTTTTAGAAGTCATGCTCTATTTTTCTCGAATTCCGAAATTGAGGGGACGAAAAGGCATCGATAGAATCTTCGAGTTTGAAAAATCGGCAAATTGTTAAACGTATTGCTTTCGATTTTCAGTTCTTCCTGGAGGAGTCTCAAGCTCTAGGAAGTTGTGAGGATATCATTCTTTAATTTGAAGGTAATGCCCTCCGGAAATGTGCATCCGGAATGTGGAAGGTAGTGATATAGAAAGGTATTTTGATTTTCGAACCAAATGCTTTATTCCCGTGTTAATTTTGCGGACGTATCTCGGCGACACACGTACACACACATACACTGCATCGTCAAATATAAATATCCGGTATTAGGTCAAACGTACAAACGGGGAGTGCTGGCGGCTCTTCGGAATAACATCACCTCGTCGCGCGGAACTGTCGATTTGAAATACCGAAGAGTATAACTTATAAAACGAGCGCCTAAATATAGTCACAAATTATTTCGAGACTAAAACAGAGATAGCGGTGCGTCGTCGCGACGAAGACGCGGGTATATCCGAGTACATCCTGGAGGATGCAGAGACCTAGATACCCGGAGGGACGTAAATTTATATATCCGGGGATATATAAATGAGTGTCTGTTATAACACTTCACATCACTGTCGCCCGAACTGACCTGCACGATGGCACTGCCGCGTCGATCTATCGAGTTATCCGGGCGATGGTGTGCCGCGGGGCCTGGTGCCTGGTCCCGCCGGTGGGCTCTCTGGTCCTCTTCGTCCCGGGTCTGGTCCTCGTCCTCGCCGCTGCTGCCGTCCAACTCGATCGGCGGCAGCGCTGTAACCTGTCGTTGCAATCCGCGCGAGCGAGCGAGCGAGCGTGCGAGCGAGCGAGCGATCGGGCGATCGACCGACGCGGTGTGCGGCGCGGTGTAAACAAAATATGGCAATGGTACACAAGTAAAAGGGGAGTTACCCCGGAGGGGGGGTGAGACGCGAGGGGTACCGGCACCGTTTCCCGGAATTCGGACCGATTTTCAGGGTAAGAGTCGACCACCGTGGAGGGTCGATGGCCAATCGCGGCACGTGGCACCGGCACCGATTCACCCGGTTTTTACCATCGTGCTATCCTCGTGCTCCCAAGAAACGCTCCTCACCGCCCCGACAGGCTCGACATCGCTGCCGGCATACGCGCCTGCTACCAAACGCGTCGTTGTATGATACATTATACGTATGTATGTGTGTACACATATACGCGTATACAGCGGAGATCTTTGCCAACGAGAGAACGCCGGCAAAAAATTGTTTTCCTGGACACATGTCGAAGAACGCGGCGTGTATTACACGTTCGGCGCGTCGACATTCATTTTCGAAACGATCTCGCGCTTACGCCAATTGGAGAACGAGGGGCGAAGTCACGAAGGTGGGAAGGGAAACGTACGGGCGCGTGCAGACGAAATTCCACGGAGACCCGTTCGGGGAGGGGTGGAGAAAAATATGCGAGAAAAATCCCTCGTTGACGTATAATGTTTGTTTTGTAAATCTTATATTTCCGTAATGGTCAAATGTATAGACAGTTTAACGTATAAATTCTTTGACTAGAAAGAATAATAATTATATAATCTTATCCGCTTTTCGTTGTTGATCCCGTAAATTTAGGAAGGATGGAATTATTCGTGACAATCTTACCGATCACACGATACGTAATGTACATCTAGTTTAAAATTTGTCAACAACTGCAGTAATGCTATGTTAATACGATTCCTTCGTAATTCCTTCGTAATAACGGAGAGATAAAATTAAATTTCCTCGACGAGAGATTTTTAACTTTATTTATCTCTGCGCGACATAAATTTCAAGCACAATTAAGCGACCATAAATTCGACAAAAATATATATATATTTGCTCACTCAGCGTTGGAATTTGATATGTACCTCTCTCTTTCTCTTTCCGGCGTGATCCATGCGCGTCGATTAGCGGCCGGGCCGGCGGAAGAGCCGCGCGTACCGATCGCGCGTCAATTTGAAAACGGTCACCGATGCACGCACGCGGGAGCGGAGAGCCAGCCGCGTGCTGCACTGCGGCGACGACGTGTGCGACGGCCCGTTCCTTCGCTCGATTCACCTGGCGAATGCGCGTGACGTGGATCCCCGGCGTTATCTGGATGGTCGGTGCCGCCGTCGATTCCGTCGTCCGGCCAACGCGGTTCTCCACCGTGCGTCGCCAATTCCTCTGGCTGACCGCAGCCCCTCTTTTCCACTGAGCGCCGCGGTGGTTCCCTCAAAGGACATGCACCCCCGTTTCTCAAACTAGAAATTTCGCTGATTCCCTGACTTCCCTTTCCTTTTTTTTCTTCGTCCTCTCTGACAATGTCCGCATTCGGATCACCTCTTAATCTCTCCACATATAAATGTGGATACAGAAAATTTTTCTCCAATTTCCTATTTTCCACTTTTTTTCATTGCATGTCATGAGTTTTTTACTTGGTTGCATCGAGTTACATCTTGTTTTTCGTTCAGCGTGTCGCACTGATGGCGATTTTTTTTGATTCGGCATAGGTATTCTTTTCTATTGACACAATGAGTGCTGCGTCGCACTGTTTGTGCGTTTTTTACCCATTAAGCACATATTTCCTCTATACATATAGTCCAGGTTCTTTTGTCTCTCTTTCTCTTTTTCTGATTTTCTCTTTCTCTCTTTTTCTTTCGAAACGACACGTACGTTTATTTCTCAAATATTTGCCAGGCCACGTCTATGGCATATTTATATATGATATGTATATCTGTTATATGTAATAATACTGTAATTATTGTGCAACAAAGCGGTAAAACGTTTCGTAAAACGAAAATGGAGATAACGAGCAAAATGAGGAAATAATGGAGTCTTTTTATCTGAATAATTTTTGCAGCACTTAACATAATGAGAGTCGAGGACTAAAATTACTTGATGAGGTTGCTAAAATTTTTTTGTCTTTTTTTCCCTTTTTCATTCGCTTGATGCTGTAATATTTTAATACACGATCTTAGTTCTCCCTTAAATCATAAATTTTATAAATTCAGTATACGTACAATATTTAATATATATATATGTATATATATATAAAACGAAAGCCATTATTATCATTTTAATTTCCATGCATCACATTTATCTGTATATACATATACGTACACATGGCGCATCAAATCTTTTATGCACAAATATTTTTTTATTAACTTAAAATCAGATTTTGATAACAAAAATTAACCGATATATTTGAGAACTATTTAAGTATATATTTAAGATATATATACTTTCAACAAATAATCATACTAGCAAATGATACGATCGACGGTGCGACACAGTGATTATATTATTGTCAAATTGTATTTTATCAAATTTGTTTCTTGTATGTATTATTCTATATTTTGTATATAAATAAGGCCACGTAAATAATTTTACTCACAATTTGCAACGTCATGTGTGTCACCAGAGTAGCGGTAAATGCAGCCAGCGTCATTACCGACACAGTCATCAGGCAGCGTAACCTCGATATTGCCGATTGCCTCGCCTGGCGTCGGGCGAGCGGGGCGAGGCTTGTTGTCAATCGCTGACATACGTCGCGCGTCATGTCGGCATCCAACAGAAGATTAGGTTAGGCATGTTCACGATATTGGCAATTTTTTTCGAAGTTTCTGAAAGCGAATAAAGTATCTGAGGAACGCGCGGGGAATAAAGGAGAAAATAGAGGACGCCGTGTTATGAAGAGAACGGGGAGGCTGGAAGGCGGATAAATCGAGAATGAGATTTCCCTCGTTGCTCTTGGACGAGACAGCACCGTCCAAATTGTCGAGGTAGACTCTTTTCGCGAGCAACGCGAATCACGTTCCGCCCGTCCGTCGCTCTTCAGCTTCTCCTCCCGGCACCGACGATGTGATTTTGCCATGTGAGACGCGAGAACTTCCCTGACCATGTTCCTGACACTCGCGACGTGAACGAGGATGCAAACGATGCTGCAGGCACGTTGGGAACGCTCTCAGAAACGCAAGAAGCTCTTGGCCCAGACGGTGAGTGCCGGGATTTTCTCTTGAAGGAGAAATGCCGCGGTCTTTTTTTTTTTTTTTGAGGTTAATTAAGCGCCAATATCCTCACGTGTGTTTGCCCCTTCAGCTGGGAGTTTCAAGCGTGGACGAACTGCGGCAGATTCTCGGAACGGATGTGGAGGATACGCAGAAGAAGAGAGGCAGGCTCTCCAACGACAAGTCCGACAGCGCGGTCAAGGATTTGAAAGACGACGTCGTACCGACGGACGAGATTGTATATAAGGATTCCTCGACGTTCTTGAAGGTATTCACCAACGCCTGACGCTTGATTTCGTGTTTGAGATATTGTAGGTCTAAGATATTCTTGTTTTATGCGAAGGGAACGCAATCGTCGAATCCGCACAATGACTACTGTCAGCACTTCATTGACACCGGTCAGCGGCCGCAGAATTTTATCAGGGACGTGGGTCTGGCGGACAGATTCGAAGAATACCCAAAGCTTCGCGAGCTGATCAAGCTGAAAGACGATCTAATCGCGGAGACCGCGACTCCACCAATGTACCTAAAGACAGACCTGCTGTCCTACAATCTGAAAGAGCTCAATTGTAAATTTGATGTCATTCTTATAGAGCCACCTCTGGAAGAGTATCAGAGAACATGTGGCGCGACCAATGTGCAACTTTGGAATTGGGACCAAGTTAGTCTTCCATCACACTTAATTACGTTTAAACTACTTTAAATTTTTATTTAAAGAAATAAGATTTTGTTTTTTAAATTAACGTTTTCTTACGAAAAATTCACTTTTTTTTCATTAACGAAATAAATAACATTAAATAGAATTATTTGTGATTTCTACTTTCTCCATTTTGAGTTCACTTTTTAGATGAGATTAATAGTTGTCATTAATGCAAATAATTCTCGCGCAGATAATGGAGTTGGATATCGGTGAGGTGGCCGCAAATCGCAGCTTCGTATTTCTATGGTGCGGTAGCAGCGACGGACTGGACATGGGACGATTTTGTCTCCGCAAGTGGGGCTTCCGCCGTTGCGAGGATATCTGTTGGATCCGCACCAACATCAACAATCCGGGTCACAGCAAGAATCTGGACAGTAAAGCGGTGCTGCAGAGAACGAAGGAGCACTGTCTTATGGGTATCAAGGGAACGGTGCGGCGCTCCACGGACGGAGATTTTATTCACGCCAATGTCGATATCGATCTCATTATATCCGAGGAGCCCGATTATGGATCCATTGAGAAACCTGTAGAGATTTTTCACATCATCGAGCACTTCTGCCTCGGCCGAAGAAGGTACGAAAATGTACAAATACAAAACTTTCAACTTCCTTTTGGAATATATAAATCAACTTGTGTTATTTTGCAATAAATGTACAATAGATTTTTCTTATTTTAATAGAATTTATATTTTTACATGATAATCAAGTTGTCAATTATGTAAATTTTGAAATATTTCTATTGATATTTTTGTTAAAAATAAATATGAATAATGATAAATGTAAGACATTATTGAACACTAAAAATTATTTGGAATTATTTAAGAAATATACATGGAGTCGAATTTTTTATTAAAGATGTAATACTTGAAGTTCTAAAAAGATTTTGACTTTAAATCCTTTTTCTATCTATTTTTTTCTTAGAAAATATCATCTTTATTCAAATTAATCATTCTGTTCTCATTCAGGTTGCATCTCTTTGGTCGTGATAGCACCATTAGACCTGGTTGGCTCACCGTCGGTCCAGAATTAACAAACACTAATTTCAACGCGGACCTATATCAGAGTTACTTTGCCAACGGTCAGATCACTACCGGCTGCACTGAAAGGATAGAAGCGCTCAGACCGAAGTCACCGCCGCCAAAGGGGAAAGTATCCGGCCGTGGAAGAGGAGGCTTTAATCGTGGTAGAGGCAGAGGGAGATAAATAGATCAGAATCCAGCAGTGTATGTCTTTCGAACATTACAATAGATGTAAGAAATCTGAAAATATAAATATATAAATAATTATGAAGACACACGAGATGTGTTCTTCCTCCTTTGCGCCATGAAATATTTCAATTTTTTAACAAAATTTTTACACAAAATCAAAATCAATCTATTCATAGTGAACTTGATAGAATTATTGAGCCTGCCTATTTGTCAATATCACATACACACAAATATCTAGCGAATTTTTCGCCTAAAAATATAAGATTTTTATAATCTATTTAAAATTATTTTCGCAAAGTTGCATATATTTATATTTTAATTATTTTACTCGTTAGAAAATTTTAATTTTAATTTTATTAAGTCCAAATACAATTAATGTATAATAAATTGAAATTAAATTAAAAATAATTTAATTAAAGAATTTATATCGTTATAAAAATAATTTAAAATTGCACAACTGGAATAACAAATCAAGCAGGATGTTCTATCAGAATTCGTACAGATCCTTGATGTGGGGAGTGGGATAAAAAAAATAAGGATAAAGCACATTGTTTTAATATCAAACTTATTGTTATTGCAAGGTACATTGTAAAAAACGCAATTTGTCATTTGAACGCATTATTACATGTAACTTAACTATCTGCGGATAGTATATAGTATTGCCTCTATCTTTAAATCATTAACGATAAATCGGACTGCCAGAGTCGCAGCTTAAGGGGTATGAGGGAGGGCTAATAAAATAAGACGCTAAAAAGATCGCGTGAAATCCAAATTCGACGAATTTTCAACTAGACCGCGTCTAACCTGCGGTTATAAATCGCACTAGGAACAAACGAATATACATATATATGTAAAAAAATAAAACATATATTTCGTTGTTGTGTTGCGGAAGCGAAAGATTGTAATCGGATCTTACGAGTAGGATTAGATTAATGAATTAAATAATAGCGAAGAATTCGTCGTCGAGAGAGTAAAGGAAGGCGCGCGCTCCTCGTCAGTCGTTCAGAATATCACCGAGTTTTACGCGTTACAAAAGTAGAAAAATTCTAGAAACGGATATTATTATGACGTTCGTAATTATTATGGCATGCTTTCGAAGGTTTTCATATGCTTTTTTGTCTGTTTAAAATTCTTCTGTTATAGTTCGGGTAAAGTAAATACTTTCCGCATAAAAAGCAACACTTATTAATATTGACACGATTTGTTCCAAAGATACGAATCACCGTGCTACCTACAGATGTAACGACGAAAATTTTCAAGCGTCACTGCGTATGTTCGACGAGAAAGTCAATGCGATTGGTAGATAGATCGATATGCGATAAATTCAGAGGCTTCTAATGTTTTTTTAAACGTAAAACCTGTCCTTTGTTAACATGATTCCTTAAACGTATTATACTCTCAATGTGCGTTAGTCGTTCAAAAAAAAAAAAAAAAAAAAAAATTTAACGCCGCGCTCGTTCAGAAAGGCAGAGAAAGACAATTAATTTATTTAAATCTCTGAGATCAAGTCACGTACTTTGTACTCTATAGGCTGAGTCGAGTAATTAATTTATAATATATACCATAAATATATAGAGCTCTTAAAATTAAGATCGCCGTTAGCAAAGAAGAAAGAAATACGCAAAACTTACAAGGTAGTTTTATTGGTCCCAGTAAAGCTTCCGGTAAGTGAAAAATGGAATCTATCTGAGGAGGCAAAGTTTTTTTTCTTTCTCTCCGCAAAGTCCGTTCGAATGCATTTTCGCATGGACGAATGTATAGCGATGGATATACATTATACTTCCTTTTTTCTTTTGTTTAATTTGTAAAGATCGGACTCTATTCGACGATGTCACAAAAAGGTCGTATCTACGTGCCGGGGTCACGATGTACTCGTGTCGATGTAAGCGACAAAACTTAAGCTCCTATTGCGGAATACATGCGAACATATCGATTTATTCTACTACAACAGAAGGCATCGTATTTTTTCTTTTTCTTTTCATTTTTTTCCATTTTTTTGTTTGTTTGTTTGATTAAATACTAAACGCGCAGAAGTAAATCAAACGACGTTTATTTACGTGTTTATTGCTATCCTTATCGGTCTAACGTAAAAATCGTAATTTCAGCTATGATGGATCTTACGTACCTATTCTTTCGTAACGCGTTCTTAAACGCAACGCTATATCTCTAACTTTCTCGTCGTTAGTCCTCCTTCTAAACGATGGCATAATACAAAAGATCGGAATAGAGTATTAAAAACCCTGGTACAACATGATCATAAATAAAATACATAAACGATCCAATTAATAATAATAATAATAATAATAGATAACAAAGTCTATTTTTTTTTCTTAGAAACGATTGTATTTCGATGCTGAACACCAATTGCATACGTCAACAATCAGTCATCATGTTTTCTTCTCTTATTTTCTCATCATTTTAACGTGATTTAAATTAAGAACAGATGACCACTACAGACAATTATTGTACGAATTAATGGTGCATTTTTATCGAACAACTGCTGATATACCATAATAATAATAATTGATATCCTGCTTTATATCGGTAATAAAAAAAAAAAAAAAGAAACAGAAGTGTCGTACAAATGAAACCGACAAATTTCGTGATAACGAAAAAAAATATACATATATATAAGCGAACTTAAAGTAATAATAATATCAGCGCGCGAATACACAAATGTTGCGACAAATCGGATATCTGCGTCGTCGAAATGAATCGTCCATCAATCGTCGAAGAGACACCAGAAAAGAAAAAAAACGCTTGCGTAGTACGTATATTATATACGAATAAAACACGTCGGGGAAAGATAATAAATAAGTTATTCGCGCGCAAGACGCGAATATCGTTATTGCTCTCCTCGGAGAATGAATAAATAAATAAAAAAAAAAGAGAGAGAAACTCTCGATTTACATCTCGCGTTACACGCGACAGCGCGTACTTTAGGGATTCTTCGTATTCGAAGTACTCGGGGGAGTACTTCACATACTCAAGACTCTCACTCGACTTGTATGCGAAATCGATCCATTTCCGACAGCAAAGCGCGTTTGACATGCAAGACTGAAACGAAAATGTTTACCGAATATTCGTCTTTTCTTTTATATATATATAAGAATTCTAGCTATCACTGGTGTGAACAGCTTTTGCACAGAAGAAACCAAGCGCCTCTCCGTGTAGCAAATTCAAAACTCCAACGCAAAGCTCCTTCCGCTAAAATCATTTCCGCAAGCTTTCCTTTATTTATTTCATCTCAATTTTTTGTCACGATAAAAAACTTTTCAAGAGAATGATTTCTATAATTTTTCATAAAAGCATCTCTATCTATTTGGCGCAGCCAAGACGAGGACTTAATCTATCGAACGCAGCGACCAAACTGGGTCTGAAGCACGACTTCAATTCAATTAATACCCTGTCGCAACTTAGATTGATACTTAATATAAATACATTTGCGTTTATACAAAATCGTTTATTCGTTAATAGATCGTCGCGAGTCATATAAATACACCCGAGGGACACGGAAATTCCCCGGTGACACAACCGGGATTAAAAAAAAAAAAAGAACTGGCGCTTTATTTCTTTCATATAAAAGCCGTGTACTTGATCACGATGCGACACACGACAATACGTTAAATTAAATTAACTCTAAATGATAACGTAACTCTTTTCTTTCGTGAAGCATCAGCGTGTGTGTATACCAAGAAGAGTTTTTTTTTTGTGGGGCGGGAGATGGCGGGCAGGGTGTGTATGCATGCGTGGTGTGGCAGGCACGGGGATGGCGATGGTGGTCGTTTTCATCTAGTTTCGCACACACAATCGATTTCGGTAATCAAGCGGTGCGGAGGTTTTCAGCGGTCAGAGGTTGATCGTCACAGGGTTTAGCCCCGATCGGCCCCGCCATCATCAGTCAAGTCTCAACAGTCACAAATATGTCGACTCCCCTGCAAGCAGACCTATCGTCAGTCGTGGAGAAAGGCGCGAATGTCGCGGAGACGAGATATCGCAAATTTTCTGGGTCAACCAACAGCGGTATTGGGTATTTGGGCGGGGAAGAGAGGGGACTGTGCGAACTAATGCCGTTTGTGAAGAAGCGAGGAGAAGCGAGAAAAAAATACAGAGAGAAAAGGCAAACGGATCTTTTTACACGCACATTTATGTTCGAGGATGTAAAAAAGAGATGAAGCTCGCATTATTCTTTCGTTCCCCAGATCTCGATGCATTTTTCCCCTCACACTTTTTCGCTTTATGAAAAGGAGTATTTAAATGGCAATGCTGTCCTGTTGACTAGGAATATTTGTCTCGGTTTTAACTTTGAAGACAATAAAAATGGCCGAGAATCGTCTTATCGGATAAAAAAAAAAAGAAGTAAAATGCATCGAGTTCGAGGGAAATTACGCAAAAAGAAAATAGATTTCATTGTGCTGCAATTTAATTAAAATATGAACTTTCCGATGAAACTTCTCTTGAACTTACCCTGACGAACGCAACGAACCTAATTGCGAAAGGAAAACGTAGCAAGATCGTACATATAATATACGTGCTTATATTTACTCACTTTTAAACTCGTAAGTTCGAGAGACACGCTCTAGAAGTGGATTATACAGTCATTTTTTATTTTCGCAATAATGATAAGAGGTGTTTAATCATATGCCTTTATGATATTCATTGCAGAGTTCGATCCGACAACTAATAGATATTAGTGTCAATGCTTGCGGTCGCAATAGGGTTATTAAGGCAGGAATATTAATACAAGTTATGTATTATCGAACATGTTTTTTTTCTCGGACAAAGGACAGGCTTGTATAGACGCAGACAGACATATCTGTAAATATGATAAAATATAACTCTATAGAATTTTATGCGCTTTAATCTCTTCATAAATTCTGAAAATGATCAACTAGCATAATAAATTTGCAGTTTTCCCGTTTCGCAAGTAGTCTTTCGTAATGTATTGTATAACATCTATGTACCGTGATCGGAGAAAGTAAAATCGGAGGAGAGATGCGGCTCGTTCGGCGAAAGAACACGAACAGGGGATATTCTTACACAAACTGCATCGTGTAACATTTATTTGTCAGTAACTAACGTATGTATATATTCACAATTTTATGACAAAAATCTTTACTCTCGTCGACACCGACTGGTGCGATATAAAAAATCGGCGAAGTAAACGTACCTTATTATCGGATCGCCCTCTAAATCGATCTCTAAATCCATACTTTTGCTCCGCTCTAAATGATAACTGACGGGTAATTCACGCGTAATCGTTAATTAATATTTCGTATATAATATGAGATCCTATATATTTATACGCATCTCGAGAGGTATGGCATACATACCTGCATCCAATTTAACAATAAGGAGAAAGTACAAAAATACGTTTATCGCGTAGATGTAAAACGACCGAGTGTCGAGTAGACACGTTTCGCGTAACAAAATTTACGAGAAAGAGTTTCGTCCGTCGCGTTTGTGAATTCTTATGCGAGGCGATCCAGAAAAATTGGAGATTAGGAAAAAGGAATGTATTCTCTGAAGAAAAGGCGACTTTTTAAAATTAAATATGAATAGATAAAAGATCTTGTCTCACAAAAAAATAAATATTAACACAACAAAAACAAATTTGTGATATAACATTAATATGTAATTTTTAAAAATTATATGCCACTGTGCATTAAGGAAGATTTAATGAATAAAAAATTTAAGTAGATAGTAAACATATATTATATTTTTTAATTAACAAAATTTTTCCTTATGAAATTCTGCTCATATAGAAATCGCTTGTTGTCTACGTTAATTGTAATAAGGAATCTCTGATTCTTCGAATATTTTTTAAGCAAAAATAAGCTCTAAAGTTCTAAATTCGTTCAAAAATATATCTGTATTATGTCAGCCCTTTTTCTGGATTGCCTAAGCGCCTTTTAATGTAGGTCGTAAATCGACAATAATAGTAACTTTATGATAATCACCATAAAGCTCTACGCGCAACAGTAGAAATAACAGAAACCGATCGTTAATACGCGGCCGCGTATTACAAAATTTACGTATATGTTGTTTTAGATAAAATCGGCCTTAAAAATCGTCCGCCGGTGTTAAAAATAAGCTTCTCGCGCCGCTTTTATCGCGACTCGTAACTGACACGTGTATATACCGATCAGCGGAAGGGAAAACTCGGTTCCAGGATTTTTCCTCGCTGTCTGCGAATACCGAGTTCACTCTCTTTAGACTCACTTAAACGCAACAATCACTGGTAACGCAGGCATATAGCAAGATAATCGGAACGTCCGTTTCTCATCTTTTTCTTTCCTGACACGCACTTTTGTACAACGAAATTTCTTTTTGTCACGTCGAAACAACGGCTTCGTTGATTCTCTCCTCGTCGGCTTCGCTATCGACGACACAAACGGGATGTCCCAATTCTTATTTACTCCCTCCTCGTGTTTCGCACGAAAGTGAATCCTCTCCAAATCCAAATGTGTCTCGTTTTTCGATTAATAAATGATACATCGACCAATTGTGTGTGAGTGTGGTCCCCTAGAAACTACATCTAGGTACTTCCAATTGCATTCGAGAACGTGCCGAAAGGAATGTCGAGGACAAAACCCGAACGATTTCGAGAAGGCAAGAAAGTTCTCTCAAAATTATTTTGTCTGAATTATCCCAGAAATGTGGACATTTTCTTAAATGGAATTGTTAGCGTTTTTTTTTTGCAAGGTGATAATAAGAGAAAAGAGTTAGTATCGCGACTATATACTTTGAAAAATTTTAGTCTTTATTTCGAAGAGACCGTCAAGCTAAAAACACTTTGTCCTGAACATTTCTTCGTACCTTTGGATCCAAGGTATATATTACGTTTCTGATGAACCACCCTGTTAGACTCGTAATTCGGCTAAATCGCAGTTTTTTGATTTACAGCTTTACTTTACGCTACATGTAGGAACATTATCGTTTTATGGAAGTGGCTGTGGTTCAAGGGAAACCCCTAAAATCTTCTAAGTTAATTAGCGAAAGATTCAGGTCAGTGGAAGCTTGCTAATTATCAGACGTTCGTATGTGGCCGCACGATTATTAACACCTTTAAAGTCCAATAACATTTAGTACACAATTAATCACGTTAATTGATATATTCATTGCCTGACGCTGAAAGCAAAATGATCTATGTCATAGCTGTTTAAATGTATAGAAAAAGAAATGTAGCATGAAGATGTAGAATTTTCAAGCTGCACGATAACACCGATTATCCTAGTTTTAAAGTATCGTTTTGTGATCATCATTTGAAACAGTAAAAATAATTTTGGAAATGCTCCATCCAACCGTCACGAATTAAACAGATTAAGAACGAAAGCTAGATTCCGTTATCTCCGCCTTCACTTTTCCTAATCACTTTAATTATTTATAAAAGAGGAGTATAAAAAATATCTTTTTTTTTTTGGACAAAAAACTTCGACTAAATTACTTAAATAACATCTTCTCTAACGATGGTCGTAACCGGATTTTGTTTGTACATCTTATTAATCGAAAAAGTCAACCATTGCCGAGCGTATGCCGATATTGCGTTCGCCCGCGAACTGTGTGTGTGTGTGTGTGTGTGTGTGTATGTCTCGGAGATTATGCAACG